TAGTCGCGAAGTCGTGTCCAGCCCATCGCGACCTCATGGACCACATTCCTCCAGGCCTTCCTGTCCTCCGCCATCCCCCAGAGTCCACTTGAGCTAATACCAACTGCTTCAGTGACTCCATCTAGCCACCTCATCCTCTGCCGTCCCCTTCTTCTTTTGCCATCTATTGTTCCCAGTATTAGGCTCTTCTCCAGGGAGTCCTTCCTTCTCATTAGGTGACCATAGTATTTGAGTTTCATCTTCAGTATCTGGCCTTCTAAAGAGCAGTCAGGGTTGATCTCCTCTAGGACTGACCAGTTTGATCGCCTTGCGGTCCAAGGGACTCGCAGGAGTCTCCTCCAGCACCACAATTCAAAGGCCTCAATCCTTTGGCGCTCAGCCTTCCTTATGATCAAGCTTTCACAGCCATGCATTGCATCTGGGAAAACCATAGCCTTGACTATACGCACTTTTGTTGGCAGGGTGATGTCTCTGCTTATTAGTATGCTGTCTAGATTTGCCATAGCTTTCCTCCCCAGGAGCAAGCGTCTCTTAATTTCTTGCCTGCATTCCCCATCTGTGGTGATCTTGGAGCCCAGGAAAATAAAATCTGTCACTATCTCCATTTCTTCCCCGTCTATTTGCCAGGAAGTGAGAGGACTGGATGCCATGATCTTAGTTTTCTTAATGTTGAGTTTCAAACCAACTTTTGCACTCTCCTCCTTCACCCACATCAAGAGGCTCTTTAGTTCCTCTCCACTTTCTGCCATGAGAGTGGTATCATCTGCATATCTGAGGTTGTTGATATTTCTCCCGGCAATCTTAATTCCAACTGGAGATTCATCTAGCCCCACCTTTTTCATGATGTGCTCTGCATATAAGTTATAGGCAGGGTGACAATATACAGCCTTGCCGAACTCCTTTCTCAATTTTGAACCAATCTGTGGTTCCGTGTCCAGTTCTCACTGTTGGTTCTTGACCCACATGCCGGTTTCTCAAGAGACAATTAAGATAGTCTTGTACTCCCATCTCTTTAAGAACTTGCCACAATTTGTTATGATCCACACAATCAAAGGCTTTAGCATAGTCAATGAAGCAGAAGTAGATGTTTTTCTGGAACTTCCTAGCTTTCTCCATGATCCAACGTATGTTGGCAATAGGGGTTAAATAAATAATATCCAAAATGTGCTAACATACTGTTCTTAGGAACAGAATTGCTTCTCCAGATCCTACCCAACCGAAGCCCTTAGATCTGGTTTGACCATTTTCAGTGCTGAAAACAGTCTTTCAACACTGACTTGAGTGGGTGGCATTGCTGTTACAGTTCTAGCTACATCACTAATAGTCTCTGGAAAAACAAGGATGACTTCTTGTATAGTCAGTTTTGATGAGCAGTCATACTTTTTCCACTATTCTTCATTGCCATTCAGTGACGTGGTTTTTAAGCTCTTCTTGTGTCATTGTTATGGTAACTTTGTCAAATGTAAAGAATCTTGGAGTCATCTTTGATTTTTTGATTTTTCTTTCACCCTGAATGTCTTTATTGCAGTGTTCATTCACAGCTTCTAACACTTTAGGATGAAGTGCCTTTTAAAATTTGATGCTCTTGTGGGTACATTTTTATCTGAATCACAGAACTACTGATTTTTGCAACACATTTTTTTCACAATCATCCTTTTCTATAATACATTGAAACACATAATATTTCCCATCTAAAGTGGTCAAAACACCCAACTTTGTTGACACATTTTTGCCATTGTGAGGTTTTTTATGGGGCTCCTCTTTCACTAATATATCCTGAAAATATAACCTGAAAAAATAGGTTACTCAAATTATTATCTTTGCGATTCTAACATATTAGTTATATTACAGTTTAAATTTATTAGGAGTCAGAGTTAGTACATTTTTACCAACTCTGACTCTGATTCCAGTACCCCAAGAATTGTTTCTGACTCTGACTCTACAGCCCTAGTTTTGGTCAGGCAGTTGAATCCTAAATATTGTGCTCAAATAGACTTTGTCCACTGCTCATTTCAGTAAACATCTGATGCTGCAGCTAGATGAAACATTGCAGTTTAACCATATGTGTGTGCCTTTGAACTTCCCTGGAGCTTTTCAAATTCTTGCCTTGCTCTTGATAATTGCTGTGATATTGCAGAGATCAGTCAGACTGGGGCATCCATGGACTTACTTGCTCTGATGGTCAGGGGCTGGCTTTCATTTGAAACAGTCTGGTAAGCCTTTTGTGAGATATTAAAATCTGAGTTCATTGAGTAACCTGCACACAACTAAGCCCCTCACTAAAGTTAGTTCTTTATGGATTTTCATATCACACCCTGCTGGTTAAATTTACTTGGAGTCTTTTAAACTTCAACCAGATACTGCATCATGCTTACCCACTTTTAGAGCAATGGAGTGGCATATTTAAAGTAATAAACCACTTCCTAATATGGCCTTGAAATGAGGATTTTAGAAAGTAACTATTGCATTTGATCAGAAGGGGGGGAAAACCCCTTATCAAGCAGTGTTGATCTTTTGGCAAAAATCAAAAACCAAAACTCAAATCAATCAGTGCAGTGTTCTACTTGCTCACATCAGGTATGTTATATAAAGAGTCTTTTTATCTGTGTACTATTGGGTAAAATGAAGTTGGAAATGCACAAGATGTGCCTCGGATAAATAAAGCAGTTTTAGTGGCCACAAAAATCGTATTCTCAGCTATTTCTGCTTTTTATATTACTTAATAAATACTACCACAGTATTTATTTATTTTATTTATTTAAAACATTTTTATGCCGCCCCCATCGCAACAAAGCCTCGGGGCGGCTCACAACAAGAAAAAAATATGCAAATATAACAAATTATACAGTAAAAATATTAAAACCCAGTGCATCTCGGCTTAAAAGATTTAAAATCCTATAAATACCAATAAATTAACAATTAAAATAAGTTTTAAATAAAAAGGTCTTAGCCTGGCGCCGAAAAACAAATAACGACGGCGCCAGGCGAACCTCTCTGAGGAGCGCATTCCATAGATGGGGCGCCACTGCAGAGAAAGTCCTCCTCCGGGTACTCACCCTCCTAATATCATTCACAGAGGGTTCCCGGAGAAGGGCATCTGTTGCCGATCTCAAGGGGCGGGAGGGCATATATGGACGCAAGCATTCCTTTAGATACCCAGGACCCAAGCCGTTGTGGGCTTTATAGGTTATAACCAACACCTTGAATTGGGCCTGGACTTCAATCGGGAGCCAGTAGAGCTGACGGAGAATTGGGGTTATATGAGAACAACGCCCAGTCCCCATCAGCAGCCTGGCAGCTCTATTTTGAACCAATTGAAGTATCCGGACCGTCTTCAAGGGTAGCCCCATGTCGAGTGCGTTACAGAAATCTAATCAGGAAGTTACCAGCGTGTGTGTCACTGTCGCCAGGCAGTCGTTCTCCAGGAAGGGATGCAGCTGATGGATCAGCCGAAGCTGAAGGAAAGTGCTCCTCGCCACCGCTGTCACCTGAGCTTCTAAAGACAGCTCAGGGTCAAGGAGCACTCCTAAGCTGCAAACCCTGTCCCTCAGAGGGAGTGCAACCCCATTTAGGACAAGGCCCAAGGCCCCCATCCCGAGGCCCGAGCACTGCAACAGGACCTCCGTCTTGTCTGGATTGACCTTCAGTTTATTGGCCCTCATCCAGCCCATTACCTCGGCCAGTCACCGGTTCAGCACAGCCATTGCCTCACCTGGATTGGTGGAAAATGAGAGGTAGAGCTGGGTATCATTAGCGTACTGATGATGCCGCAGCCCACACCTCCTGATGACCTCTCCCAGCGGTTTCATGTAGATGTTGAATAGCAAGGGGGACAAAATGGACCCCTGAGGAACTCCATGACATAACTGCCATGGTGCAGAGCCATAGTCCCCCAGCACCACCTTCTGAAATCGGCCGTTGAGATAGGAGTGGAACCACCACCACGCGGTGCCTCCAACTCCCAATCCCGCTAGCCTATTCAGAAGGATACCATGGTCGATGGTATCAAAAGCCACTGAGAGGTCCAGGAGAACTAACAGGGACACACTCCCCCTGTCTCTCTCCCTGCACAGGTCATTGCACAGGGCAACCAAGGCAGATTCAGTGCTGTACCCGGGTCTGAAGCCGGACTGAAATGGGTCCAGATAATCAGTTTCATCCAAGAGTGCTTGGAGTTGTCCCGCCACCACCCGCTCTAGCACCTTGCCCAGGAACGGGATGTTGGCCACCGGTCTATAATTGGCGGCCACCTCTGGATCCAGGGATGCCTTCTTTAGGACTGGCCGGACTACCGCCTCTTTTAAAGGGGCAGGTACCCGACCGTCTCTTAACGAGGCAATGACCACCTCCAGGATCCAGGTCCCAATCCCGTCCTTGGCTTTCTTAAGTAGGCAAGATGGGCATGAGTCTAGTAAGCAGGTGATAGGTGTACTTGTCCAAGCACCTTGTCCACATCATCAGGCTGCAACAACTGAAATTCATCCATTAATTGTGGACTCGACGGTGTCGTTGGCATCTCCTCAGTAGAATCTGGTTCAATAGTAGAGTCAAGCTCGTGACGAATCTGAGCGATTTTCTCCCTGAAATGCCTCGCAAAGTCGCCACAGCAGGCCTTCGAGGGTGGTACGAGATCTTTCTTTGGGCCCAGATGTATCAGCCGTTGCACCACCCGAAAGAGCTCCGCCGGACGGCATTGTGAGGAGGCAATGGAAGCGGAGAAGAACTTCTTTGCCGCCCTCACTGCCACAGCATAGGCCTGATAATGAGCTCTTAAGTGTGTTCGGTCAGATTCATCCCGTGATCTCCTCCACCTACACTCTAGACGTCTCCCAAACTTCTTATGCTTTTTATATTGAAGCAGTTTTGTAACCAGCTGGGTTGTCAACCGAGCTATAATAGAAGCTGTGTCTCCTGGGTGGATTGTTCTTTCACTGATATGATCAATTGTCTTTGTGAAATCTGCTCCGAACTTGTCACTTTTTAATGTTACTTTTTTCTAGGAACCTGTGTGAAGTGCAGTAAAGGTGTATATGGTGCAAACCAGGCTTGCCAAGCAATGGGGAATCTCTACCACGATGGATGCTTTACCTGTGGAGCATGTAGTAAGTATCACTCAAGATACTTTTCTTTTATATATTACATCTAAGTGAACATATGCAGAAAATAGGTGGTGATCTTAAACTCTTGCTGAAAGAAGAAATGGCAGACCTGTTGTCAACAAAGTTAAAGCATTTTTCAGTCCTATTAATCAACAAGGCTCCTCCTAAATGTAAACCTAAATAACTATCATAGTTCTTCGTAGACTTCCTGGCTCTTGCATGCTCATTGCTCCAGTAATGTGAGGATAGGATGGCAGGACGATGGGGAACTTGGGCTGTGTATTACACGGGTTGTGATATTCATGGTTAAATAGCTGGAATATTTCTTTTCTGATTGGCAGGCAGAACACTTAGACTTACTATAGCACCCTCTAGGCTGGTTTTTAAAGAAAGGTAGGTATAAAAAGCATGAAGGTGGGGCAATCTGGAGCCAGCCCAGGAAATTGTGTGTAATTTTCCAGAGCAGCAGTTGGAATTGGGCGCTGCTGGCACAATGTCCATACCATGTTAACAGGAAGAGATTTGGAATCACATGATGGACTCTTGGAATATTTATAAATGCCTACTTTCTCTGTTCTTCTTGATTATGTTTCTAAAGTGACATAGTTAGGCTTGGAGTTTGATAGCATAGGACCAGCATCTTCAACCACAGCTGCTAGATTATTACCATGCAAACAGTTTTGGAACCAGGGGCTCTTGGGAATGCATCATTATGCAGTTGGGCTGGGAAAAGTATTTGTGGAACTACTATTTGGGGAATCAGACTGATGAAGCAGTCCCCTTCTTCCAGGGCTCGTAGGTGCCGCTCCTGTAAGAAAAGGGAAAGGAACATAGAAGATTCTGCTTTCTTAGATGTGAACTGCCTGTATTTCCTGTTTTACCTCCTCACCCCCATTCTGTTGCACAAATGGAACGGTAAAGGACCAATGCAGAGTGAAAAGCAACTTTCGCAAAGTTCTATAATAAGAGGTTTATGACAGAACTGAAAATAAAACCCAACTGTCCCACCCACATGTTCCCTGTCTCCTTCTATGAGTTATTTTGCTCATACTAGAATAACACATCTGTAAGTGACAGCAAGGTCAGTAAGTGACAGAGTGATAGTAAGGAGTACCTATTAAAAACATTTATCTATTTCTATATCAAGATTGTTCTACATCCCTCGCTGCAAATAGGAATGCCATTCTTTCTTGTATTTAGAGTTCTTACACATGCTTTGATGTTGCAATTTATACAAGTATCTAAATTTACTCATATTTTGCAGATGTACATAAGCATCTGTGCAATAATAGTTGAAACAAATCTGGCACTGGTTTGAAAGTCTCAATATACTATTTTTGTTTATTTTATTCTAATTTATTTTTAAATTTCAGTGATTCGGAGATTTTAATTCATAATCAAGAATCCAGTTCTGCTGGTTCTCCAGGTTCTTATTTATACCAGTTCTGAACAAATGGTGTTGCATCTTTTGAGAGGTCTATATCATTGGCTCCTTCCTTCCCATAAACCACTATAACTAGCAATTTTGTTCATAAGTATTTTCCAGATATTCCATAAGCATATTCCAAATGTTCCTTCTTCACAATCCTAATGGCTGTTCTCCATGCTCTTGCTAACATTGATTGTGCCATCATTAATACACTGGGCTTTAGACTGGGAGGCTTTTCATAGCAGCATGTCTGGTAAAGAACCTCTGGAAATTGCAAAGGAACCTGGTGTGTAATGCCAGGTTCTGACTAGGCCTGTTGGGGTGAGTCCAGCTTCTCTAGCAAATTGAGTATGTGCCAAAGAAACCTGATACCCCGCTGCTGGCATTTGGAGGGTAACATACTTTGTTTGTTTTTATCTTAGAATTATATTGTAAGTTGTTTTTCCAGTTAATTTAGTATACTGCTCTGTCATTTGATAATGAATGATATATGAATGTACTGAATAAAATAAACAATATGCATTACTACTGCTGGGCAAGCTGCTTTTCTGGGGACCTAGCCAGTCATTAAATGATCATCTAATTAACAAGTTGCCTTATGTTGAGTGCGTGTCCATCTAGCCAAGAACTGGCATAGTCTCCAGGATTCAGGAAGAAAACAGCCTTTTCTAGCATGGCCACTTGAAATCTTTCAAATGGAGATAGTAGGATGGAGTGTGAGACTTCCTCCCTTCAACACTTAAGCACTACCACTGACCTGTTGTCTTCCACTAACTGGAGACTTATACATGATCCTGTGATGACAGTTTGAGAACCACTGGCCTAATGCATCGTGCTTTTGTAAATTCTCACACGTAAAAGCTTAATACGAGTACAGAAACAGTAGGGAAAGGGACTTATAACTTCTTTTATTCTCTACTGCACCATATTTCTGTTAGTTCTTAATGAGCTTTTGTATCAGTTTTGACACTGAGATAAATAATGGCTCCAATATTTCTATCTCAGGCGCCTATTCATAAATATTCAAGTAAGTGGGCTTAGTTGCCCAGAGCTACAAATAAGTTCTAAATTCTGCACTATAAATAGGTTACATACTATTCCCATTTAAATCCTATTTATTTCAGTGATATTTTTTTGCTTCCAAGAAAGTATGCTTAGATGTGGCTTTTATTTGGGGACGTATGTTTTGGCATAATGATGAATAAGGTGGATACATAATCAGTTATTCTGTATCAAATGAAAACTAAAGTTAAGCTTCTGTAAAAGAATGCCTCTGTGCTGTATGTTTTTGCTATTTACTGTTACTACAAAAGTGTAATTACTCAAACTGTAGATTATAGGTGTATAGCTTTAAATTGTAGATTACAGGTGCATGCATTCACAGCCTAATCAGTGCTCCCAGCTATGTGTATGTGGATTTTCACATCTATAATTTGCACTTCATGTGTTTTCTCTGTGGTACTCCTGCAATGGCCACATAAGTTGTGGCATGACTGTATACATGTGAAGTTGACTTGCATTCCCTTTAGACTGATTTGTATAACTTGAGCACTGCTTTGGTATCAAATTTTGTCTGATGTTACTGAAGTCTCCAGTTTATGTGGACTTACCTTTTTAATTATTCCTGGAACTAGTTGTGGTTCATGTCGGCATCCCTGGGATACAAACTTTTTTCGCAAGGGAAATTAAACCACATTATATTTTGCATGCAGCTGTGCACTGTTTTTGCAATTCAGCACATTGAAGGATTTGTGTATCCACATGTATATGCTTCTTTATTCTTCTGCCTGCAGGCTTCTGGATACTGACCTTAATTTATAAGATGCTCAAGTTCTATATATTGTTGTGATATGTGTTCCAAGTACATGTTCTGCATCATAGAAATAAGCTTTTTAATTTAACCAATATACAATTTTACCTATGAGGGACCCTTTGATTTTCTCATACTTCTAGTCTAATTTTACACGTATGTTGGAACACACATGCTCTTCAATGGTGATCCCACTCATAAAGCTGCTTAGGCTTGGCATTTTTGCATCATATGGTTATATTTTGAGCAGTGTAGACCTTGAGGTCATATGAGGAAAGATGATAGCCAAAGAAAAATGTGTAGAGGAAGAACATGAAATGCCTGAAATATATTAGGAGAAGCTGAAGGCTTAAAATTACTTTAAAAGTTTGGGATGCAGTGAGAAAGGATGTTCCAGATGTTAGGTAAGTCATATGATCCAAAATTGGAGCCTGAAATTATTCCATTCTTGGAAAAAGATAATTATGTTGGCAAATTAAAAATACTGGAATTTTGTCCTTTGGACATTCCTTTCTTAACTATGAAGTTAAAAAGGTGCTTAATTATAGCTGTGCTGCTAATTCTTTTGGGTAACTTTTGCATATTACAGTGATAAATAAGGCTGTGGTATGTGCTTTGGTGAGCTGAACTGTAGCAGCAGTGTTCTGAAATAAGGAACTTTTTAGTTCTCAAACCCCTTTCTGGGATAGACACTTGTTTGTATCAGTCACCAGTTATTGCAATTAGTATACAAAATATTAACATGAAATTACCAAATTTAAAAAATGTGGTCCCTATTGGACACACACATTCTCTCACTCACTTCATGAGGGCACACTGCCACTTTTAGTGCAATATAGGTGACTCCTGTTTAATATTAATAAAGAAGTTTAGATGTGGTTCTGAAAAAAATGATATTTATATGTTTCATACACACACACACACACACACACAATCACAGATTTTCAGGTTCACCATGGGTTGTTTCCCACCTCCTTCCTCCTTGGTCCTCCAGCAGGTATCCTAAGGGTTTTGTGGCTGCATCTGCCCCAAGTCTTCTTCCGCTCCACTCCCAACCCTTCTTGGTTGCCACCACAGCCTTTTTGTCCCTTTCCCCCTTTTTGTGATCTTCGGTGCTGACTGCCACTGACAGCCCCTGAAAAGTGTCCAAGTGGCACATTGAGTAGTAGCCATGGCTGATTCTCTGCCTCTCCTTAAATTATCCCTAGGTACCAGAAATGTGCATATATTTTCTTACATGCGTTAAATTACATTTTTCCTCAGTCTTTCTCCAGTGCATCGCTGCACACGTGTGGGTAACCATGATAAAAGTTTTGCCTGCTCAATATCATAGTAAGTACCTACTGTGAAAATGCAGTAGGAATCAGCCGTGGGTGTTAAGTGAAAAAGCAAAGCCATAAAAACAGTTTTCTTTCCAAAAAGGGAATGACAAATATATTATCCCTTCACAGTGATAGCTTGTGGTTTTGAAGCACAGACCTGACAGTTCATAATACCTTCCAGCCTCACTGTTCTTTTCTGAGACTGGGTGCTCAAGGAAGAGGAAAAGTGCTATCCACACCATTTACAAACTGTTTCCACAAACATTTCCACAAACTGTTGAAGGTCTCAGAAGAAAGGGTTTATTTTAACACAGGTCTGAACAGAGATTTCTGACAAGGAAATGTACAGATTTCATGGCTGCAGTTTGATCCTTATTCCCATCTTTGCATTATGGGAAAATCCAGTATTGAAAATACGTAGATGCTTTTTCTGTGGAAGAAT